TGTTCAGCTTACATTTGTTTGACTTCTGAATCATAATCCATTACCATGTAATTAGTTTTCTTCTAAATTAGACCTTGTTTGAATATGCAACCCATTTTACTAATTATTTGCAGAAGGGAAGAGTGGTAATACAAGCATGACAGGAGTAGCTGTAGGCGTGGATGTTACAAGTTCACAAAAAGTTTGGAAATGTTTGGCAGCCGTTGGAAATATTGCCTTTGCCTATGCTTTCTCCAATGTTCTTGTGGAGATACAGGCGAGTCGACTTTTCAATTTTTTTTTTTTTTATAGACTTTATAAGTGCATATCGTCTAACTCAATTTTTGAAAACAAATTTCTCTATTGTAAAAATTGAAATCCGGTTTGATGCAATTTTTTAAAATGCACTTTTGGGTTTTTTTTTTTTTTTCTAAATTAGTAATTATTTGTTGCTTCTATATATAATAACGTTGTATGGCTAAATGGTACCTGGATGCACTTACAGGACACATTAAAACCAAATCCACCAGAAAATAGAGTCATGAAGACGGCCACCACCATTGGGATATCAGTCACCACCTTGTTCTATGTGTCCTGTGGGCTTCTAGGCTATGCAGCATTTGGAAATAAGGCGCCGGGCAACTTCTTAACAGGATTTGGTTTCTATGACCCCTTCTGGCTCGTCGACTTGGCTAACTTGTTCATCATCATTCATCTCTTGGGTGCTTACCAGGTAATACTTTGTGTAAACAACAGTAAGATAGCTTAATTGAATTGGTATCACTAATCCTAAAACCTTGATTCTAGAGCAATGGGAGGTGGCAGAGGATTTAACTTAGTAGATGACACCTACCAAAAAGTAAAAAAAAATGATCAGCAGGGGCAACATTTGTCTTTTAATGTCTGAACTGGCTGAAAAAACAATCCGTCCAGACTGAAAGAACATCTTTCTCATATTTAAAAAATCTTCTTCTTCTTTTTCTTTTTTTTTTTTTTTAATCTTTTTAATGTTTTGTGCAGGTATATACCCAGCCGGTATTCAAGCTTGTAGAGGACTGGTGCTACATGAAGTGGCCTGAAAGTGGATTTTTGAGGGAAGGAAGCCCTATTAAAATTCCGGTGCTGGGTATATATAGGTTTAGTATGTTAAGGCTTGTGTGGAGGACATTGTTTGTGATAGTTACTACCGTGATGGCAATGTTATTCCCATTCTTCAATGCTATTCTCGGTCTGCTTGGAGCTCTTGCATTTTGGCCATTGACTGTGTATTTTCCAATAGAAATGCACATATCGCGGCTGAAAATTCCAAGGTTTTCCTGTAATTGGATGTGGCTGGAGGTTCTGAGCGTGGTCTGCTTGATCGTATCACTTCTCGCGGCTGCCGGATCTATTGAAGGAATTATTAAATTCCTTGAAAGTTATAAGCCTTTCAATTCTGTTTCATGATATTTCTGTTGATGCTTAATAAAACAAATGTTATTGAAAGAATTTTAGCCGCTGTTTGGATTATTGGATTTGGAGGAGGAGGGGAGGAGAGTGAAGGACAGATGTCTCTCTTACTCTATCTTTTTTTCATTAATGGAAACGGAGGGGTAATAGAACCCCTCCACTTTGCTGATTTCCATCCCTTCAAATTGGGATATTTAGGGAAGGTTATAGGGATGTGATAGTTTGATCATTGGACTATTTGAGGGGGAAGAGTGTTTGATGGAGTTTTTGCTTTGCAAGTCCTTTTGTCTTTTTCAAGGTTTTAGTTTTAAGTTATTTATTTATTTTGTAGTCTAGCTAGTTCAGTTTTAGGTCCTTACATTTAGCTTTGTGTTTGGTCTCCTAGTTTCTTAGTATTGTTCTTAGAAGCCATCTACAAGTCCAAGTGTATTAGTTACTACCTTCCCCCGTAGGATAATAGTTGTTTTTTAACTCAAAATTTGTCTCAATTAATTGTTATTTTTTTATATATGAAGACTTAGCATATAATGACATGTAAAAAATTATATTACTTAGCTCGAGATAGATCATTGGTATATATAACTTGATATTATATAATTAACACTTTTTATTAAAAAAGTACATGTAATATTGTATGCATCAATTTATTTAATAACATGTTATATTTTGTAATTTATAATATGACATGACATTTTACTTGCAATTTTGCCAAAAAAAAATTTCAACTGTTGTTGATTTCCTATATAACACCATAAAGTCAAATTACCTTGAAAGTAAATCTAAGGATATCTAGTGGATGTATGTTTCTATTGTTATCCTTTTAATTAGCTAGACGATTGTAAGTTCATAATAATATGATGACATTAAATGAATTGATGCATATTATATCACATGTAAATTTGATAAAAATAATTAATCATGTAACGATACATCATGATTGTGAGGTAACAATACCATGAGACATTGTATTTATATCATTTTGGGCTAAAAATGTGTCAAGTAGAGGGTTGCTTGAAAGCATATATATAGTTTTATATTAATTTTATTACCACACATATATATTGATTTTAAGTTATATAATAAGAAACAACTCTCTTTTATATTTTTTAATCTATTTTATCTACATGCTATAAGAGTTAAAATCAAACCTCTTATTTTTAATAAAAAAAATTATTACTAAATTATTTAAATTATTGATTTTATTACCAAACATATAATTTGACTTTCCTCGCCCTTTTTACAAAGAGTATGTAAGAAGATAGTGCCTTTTTTAGGGAGTAGTTGCTAATAAAGGACTTTCATATTAATTAGCTAATTAATGTCAGTGAATCCATATATAAATTAGGCCTATATGTTTTCCACATATAAACACATCAGCAAGCATATAAATCACCCAAAAAAAAAAAAAAAAAAAAAAGACTACTCGGGGATGCACACATAATCTTGTTTGTTATACAACCTCGTAGAGAGATAGTGAGAAAGAGATGGCCTCAAAGGAAAACTTTATGATAGAAAAGGAAAAAAAGGGCAATTTGTTAGGTATTGATGAGGATGGTGTGAGAATTTAAGAATCTACATAAAAAAAATTTAGAATATCAACATATAATGACAAGTCCATTCCAACACAGTGACATGAATTTTGGATTAGAGCTGTTCACCTCCTGTGAGTTACGTGTTTAAGCCATACGACTCCCCTTTTCCCTTCTCTCAATTAATTGATATGTAAATAATTTCAATATGTTAAACAACAAAAAAAGAATATCAAGATATAATAAAATAAATAAATTTTGTACTTTAATCTCCATAATAGTATATTACCCAAAGATCATCAAGCATCATCATAATTTCTTGAGACTTAGGTTTTTCTCTGTTTTTTTTTTTTAACTTCTATATATTACCAATCAATGGGTCATGTCATTTTCTAAATCTATTATTTATAGAAGTAAAGTTTTTCAAATGAAAGAAAAAACCTTTTTTGATAATCTTTTGAGTATCTTTATCAAACGATCCATCTTTAATTTTAAGTATTATTTATATGACATCATATAAAATTAAAATAAAACCTAAATCAATTTGAATCACATAATTTTATTAGATTTTATCAATTTTTCTCATTTAATCCAATTTTAAAAACTAAATATAATTAGCAAAAGTACACATAAAATTTTCCAACAAATGGACATGTGCAACTGGTAAGGATCACTTGAGTCCTGATTTCTCTAATAAGGTTTTTCGTTTCGACATTAGACTCTTTTTTTATATTGATGTAAAGGGTTGGAATATACTCCGTACTCTCTTTTAATGAAATGTTTTCATGGTTTGGTAGGGAGATTATTGACAGCAAGTGCACATGTATCATAACAGCTGTTGTAGGGTCAGAAGTTTTATCTCTGGCTTGGGCCATTGCGCAGCTGGGATGGATTGCAGGCACCAATGCTCTTATCACCGATTCACCTGGTTCACCTCTACCCTGCTTGCTGACTGTTACCGAGATCTCATTACGGGAAAATGAAATTACCGCTATAATGTGGTAAAATCCATCAGTGAATTAGAGTATGTTTGGTTCAATTTCTAAGTATTTTAATTTTTTAACATTATCCGTGTTTCATAAGTTTAAATTTTTTTTAAAAAAATTTATATTTTTAAACTTTTGTTTAATTTAAAAAAATTTCAAATAATAAAAACTCAAAAATTTTAAGTCCAAACTTTTCATAATTTTTTTTTTACTCTTTTTTTACTCACTTTTTTTTTTAATCTCTGAAAACAACTGAATGGGTAGCATTTTAATTTTTTAAGCAACCTTGTTCTAAGCTCTAATACACAAGCTATAAAACAAAAAATTAAGTTTAATTATTCCTAGATTTTTAAAGAAAGTTTATCAAATTTACTGGATTTTAAAAAAAGTTTAACAAATTTATTTTATTTTTATAATTTAACTAAAAAATAACTATCATCATTAAATCACTAACCATATCATCGTTAAAACACTAACCAAACATGATCCAAGAGACTGAGTAGAGGTGTGAATGACTAAATTATTGCAAATAGTGACAATTGGCCCTTAGCAGCAGCTATCACAATTTCATTTTTTTAATAAATAAATAACAACATGATTGGAAGAATTTTGAATATTCTTCTTTTAAAAAAAATAAAAATAAAAAACCCTACTTACTGAGAGTTTAGAGAACCTAGTAGTCTAATCCAATATCCAAATGCCTACAATGGACATGGTTTGGGCTCAATTTGAGCATCTCAACTCGGACAGTCCAGGACTCCAACCACTACCCAATTGGGTCAAAACTCAAAAGTCAAAACCAGCTTTTTACTAAAACTTTCCAAAAAAAAAAAAGAAAAAAATGTTCGGAGTTCAAGCGATATCCTGTCAAGAATCCAGAATGAATTCTGTATGAAACGTTTCTATTCTCGTGTGACTTATTAGCTGAAGGGAGTCAGCCCCATCCTCCATGGATGGGTTGCAATTTATTTTTTTTTTTAAATGTTGAACAATGCTTACCATAAGATTCTTTTGTATTGATCAAAAAAATTCTTAGAATGAATCCATGATCAGATTATTTCTGACGGCATTGAAATTCAACTGGGTTCGAGTTTACATGGCGAGAACTGAAAAGCTCGAGATATGCATAATGAAATATTAGGCCAAAAAATGACAGTTTAGTTGTAAAATACCCTAATCTAAGTTAATTCCCTATTCTAAGTTAAGGGAACCTAAAAATTGCCGCAATGAATTCAATCAAATTCACATTTATAGGGTTCTGGAACTTTCCTGGAGAAGAAAAATCTGCTAGGATGCGTGGCATTGGGCAAAGAAAATGACAAATGTAGTGTGTAATGTAAATCATACTCATTCATCCTTGTAATTTTATTTCTTTTTTAGCAGCCAATAAACTTAATTAAATTTTTATATAAAGCGTAAAAGGGATATTTAAACCCATTACAAGATAAAAAAGTTTATTTCAAGGACAAATTACCGTGTCTTATAAAATCAAGATATTCATCTCAACTAAATTCATCTCTCTAATTTTAATTCCATTAATTGCTTATATTGATATGGATTAGTTTGTGTTATGGTAAAGGAAATAAAAATACTATATTTGAAAGCGCACATATTACCTTTTTCTGGAAATTGTGAAGGCAAAGCAAGAAGAGAGGACAAAATCCCACAATGTTAAAAGAACTAGATGAGGTAACATTTATAAGAGAGCAATATACAAAAGGAGATTGCCCCGAAGTCAAGGTGGGGCATGAATGGTGTGCAAACTGCAAACATGGTGACTCATTTCCCTGCTTGACCACTGGTAACCAGCATGGCATCCCCATTCTCTACGAATGAGTGGCCGACAAAAAGATTATGGTAATTAATCTTGCAATTGGGGACTTCCCCTTGGAGCCAAGGGTGAGTTAGCCCCATCCTCCATGGGTGGGTAGCACGACTTTTTTGTTACACATCAACGTTTCTAACTTTGTAAGTTAAAGCTTAATGGAAAGGAAAGGGAACTGCAAGTGATAGCAAACATGACTCACCTGGGTTGCTTGTGCTATCTTTTCTTGATCACTTATTCTAAATAGTTAATTCAATCACTTAAAATTATATAGAGAATGTTGAAATGCTATTCATTTTATGTAAATACATTTTTTTAAACCATTAATAAAGGGATAAATATTCAATATCAGAGGATATGCCTCTATTTCAATGATTATAAAAAGTATAATCTTACAATATTTTTCTAAATTATATATAGTATTTATTAATTAATTTGTATTCATAAAAAATGAACTAGAAAATATTGAATTTGAATTTACCAATGATATTCATTCAGGAGCAACCAAATTCCAGATTTTCATGAGCCCTCTGGCGCGTCTTTTTATCATTGCTGCAATTATGTCTTTTGCATACCCTACCATAGGCCTCTGTCTCTCCATTGCAAATATTGCAGGTAAGAAACCAATCAAATGACACTTTGATTTATTTGCACAACTACAAAATGGCAGTCTTATTTGTTCTTTATTTAGTTTGGTTACTTTGGTACTTACAAACTGATTCAAGGTACCATTGAGTGGCGGCACCAGCTGAAATCGATCAGGGTAGAGCCTTTTCTTTTTAATCTTGTGATATCAGTCTTTTTTACACTGAATTATGGTATAAAAGTAAGAACCTTACCTCAATGCTCTTTTTTTAATACATTTTACATTATGAAGTGCATGATCGTATCGCTTCTTGCGGCAGGAGGATCTATTCGAGGAAATGTCAATCGGGATATACAAGCCTTTCCATCCTATTTCCTAAGTTTTATTGAAGGAGTTGTCCTTGTTAGTCAACAAATTGCATTATATTTGTCCTTAATTAAACAAGTGATAACAAAAATAACTCACCTGGCTATCTTTCCTGTTCTTCTTCTTACATTTTCTTTAACCATTGGAAGGATAAATCCCCAATATCAAAAGGACTTGTTTCTTTATCAATAGTTATAAAAAGTAGAACCCACGTTTTTCTTAATTATGAATGGTGTTTATTCATTTGCATTTATAAAACAACGAAGTAAAAAATGTTGAATTTGAAATCACCAATGATATTCATTTAAGAGCAACTAAATTCCTGATTTTCATCAACCCTCCGGTCTTTCTATCATTGCTACAATTACGTCGCACACCCTACCATAGGCCTCTTTCTCGCCATTGCAAAAATTGCAGGTAAGAAACCTATCAAATGATACTTTCATTTATTTACACAACAACAAAATGGCAGTCTCATTTTTTTCATTATTTAGTTTGATTCCTTTGGTATACACAAACTGATTCAAGGTACCATTAATTGAGTGGCGACACCGCCTAGAATAGATCAGAGAAAAGCCTTTCCTTTTCAATCTTGAAATCTCAGTCTGCTTTACATTGAATTATGATACGAGCTTATTGTTTATCCATTTACTTTTTAAAAATTCAACGAAAAATTATTTTAAAATTATATTATTTTATAAAAAAATATTTTAATTAATACTTTAAAAATATGATATT